TTAAACTTATGACACCAGTCACATGAGGAATGCATGTAATAAATTCTCAATATTCATGCTAAGTTTCTTAACTTAAAATTTTATAATGGTATTATAATGACTTAAACCAGAAGCTTCTGAATAAAATTGTTGGTTTAATTTATATTTTTTTCCCAGAATTAAGGATTCCTTTATTTTTTCAGTCAATACTTTTACATTATTTCTTGTGGGGTGAAGGCAATGAGCAATTTTATTTCCTTGTTTCCATAACATAATTTAAATAAAATAAACTTGGGATGAAAATTACTGTTTTCCAGAACAAAGAATTGCAAGATAAACTGGACTACTTAATGGAAAACCAACCAAAGACCAATATAGAAACCAGAGATACTGGTGTAGAATGTGACCTTCCATACAGGTATTTGTTTTTCTGGCTTGCTCGTAGGAAAATTCCCCATAACATCCCTTATTGGTGCTGTATTAGTAAACCCAAACGTTCCCACTTCTGCACCAGAACGTTGTTTCTGCCCTGTGGTGGCCAGTGGCTCTGCAGCCTGGCTTTGGAAAGATCAGGAATTGTGCCTTTCCTTCTCCTCCCCTTCCTCTGCCCTGGGCACTGCTCAGGATTGCCCTGAGCCCTGGGAACGCGGCTCTGGACTCGCTCTTGAATCATCACCCCAAAGTCACCACAGGGAAGGGCCAAACAGAAAACAAAATACTAAACTAAGCAGGACCACTGCATGTTACTTGAAGTACCAACAAGTAAACCTGTTCTTAACTGCCCTGCAAGTTGAATCATTTAATTGGAGGAGTGTAAATCACCACATGGAATCAGCAAGCTGATATGAAATCGGCAAGCAAAGTAAAATTCCCTTGATAATTTGAAAATGTACTCATTTTAGAGTTTGGCCTAAAGCATAATTTAATGGCATGTGTTTTGAAACCTTAAAACAGTGTTTTTCACTCAGGGTGTCAACAAAGACCTATCTTTGTTGTCTTCTCTGTGGCCTCTCTATATGTAAGCACAGCCCCTACTTATCAGACATTTTTTCTATTTTTAAGGTTTATATCTGTGAAAATGTACCTCTGTACAGTTTAAATTTCATGGGATTACTTTTCACAGTTAATTATCTTCTTAAATGTAATATTGCTGTCTTTTTTGTTCCAGGATCATTTAATAGTCTTCTTAAACACTATATTGCTGTGTTTTTCTGTTGTGGGATCCTTAGTCCTAGTAACTTTACTGCTGGACATTCCACTATGAGCTCCAGCAAATGCCTGCATGTCAACGTGCCAGTATGTGCCACAGTTTTTATCAAATATTCTTTGTGGCATTATAGAAAAGAAATATGGAACATATCAAATAGACTAATTAATTTTAGCCTGTCACTATCCAAACAGGGCACAAGTTCATTGCCATGGCATTTTGAGCCCAGCTGTCTGATACTCTGACATTAAATCTCTAAGGTTTTTCTTGTCTCCTCAACAGTCCAAGTCCTGAGAACAGATCTCCTGAGAGCCAGAGGCCGGTGAGGACGTACACCCCGTTCAAGAGAGTGCTGGAATTCAGCACAAAGAACAGCACATCTTGAGCAGTCAAGTCACTGTGCTTTCTAAATAGGAGCAGATACCTTGCGCCTTTGCAGCTTGATTAGATAAATTGTTACCAATTCATAGAGAAGAACAGCAGCATGGAGTCTTGCTAAATTTATCCTGAAAGCAGCTTTTTAGTAACTTTGTCTCTGAAGTTACTGCTGGCGTTGACTGTGAGGGGATATGGAAGGAGCGGGGTAAGTGAACCAGCAAATGTTGCTTCTTCAGAAGCTGCCCAGTGCAGTGTGTCATTTCAAATGCCTGCAAGGAAGGAGTTGTACAGCTGTACAGTTTTTGTTTTCTTCAACTGTATCATAATTCTGTCTGTGTGATGAAGCTCTAATCTATTGTGTTGTCAGTATGACCTGAAGTGATGCTGGCAGAGGGCATTAGTGTGGAAGCTCCCCATGTGCCCCTACGAACTGGGAGGGCAGATCACACCTGTCAGAGACCTGGCACAGTCGAGGGCTCTCTTCACCTGGGGGCAGCTCCCTTGTACCCAGCACTCTTTGCTGGGAGGGAGAGACACAACTGGGCTGTTCCGAACAATTCCCTCCACACATGAAGGTGAACATTGTGTTTGTTGCTCGAAATAGTAACCGATAGAGCAGATTATAATGGAATTTGCTTTGTTGGACTGAGGCAGTGGTTTGCACTTCCTCAGTCATGGGACAGAGTGGCCATTGGTGGTCCATTCAATAGTAATTGTGTTGGAAAACCCCTGACACCTTATTTATTTACTTTTCCATTAGAGGAAGCAGTTTTCATTAAACAGAATTTTGCCTATTGCAACCTGCAGCAGTCCCTGTAATTCCTACAGCAACAGCAATCCTGAATCAGGATTTTGGGTTTTGAGTATTTTTTTTCCAAAGCACTTAAAATCTTATCCTTGGCTTCATGTAGCAGCAGGAATGACTGCATCTAGTACTGAACTCGTTTAAATATATAGGGGATTTCTTTACATCTTGTTTTGATCTCCCAGTCTCAGTGAACTTGAATTATGAATATTTTATTGTAGTTCTGTTAACATGAATGAAGGATTTTTTTTTTTAATTACAGTAACTACAGAAAACAAACAACTTTTATTTTCTATATGGTCAATATTGTTCTTGCATTCAGCCAATCCTGACCTTGCCACAGGGCTTCACAAAGGGATTGCTTTTATCTCCAGGCTAATGCAAGTTCTTAAATGCAGTCCTTATCTATTCAAATCAAGTACACTTACTAAAGTTGTATTTAAAATAATAATATTGACCTCATACTGAACCCACAAGATGATGAGTAGTGACTCAACTCCAATGTCAGGGATAAGATTTGTGCCTGTGGAATCGTATCTCCATCTAGTGGCTGATAACAGCAAATATTTGGACAGTATCTGTTTTGGAAGCGGAAGACATTAAAAACTAATCCCAACTGGTATATTAATGTTCACTAGGGATGGAGCTTTAGGTTGTTACATAAAGTCTTTTAGCATTTTTGTGCCCAAATAGTCCCTCTATATTTCAGGAATTTGATTCTGAACCAGGGTTTGTAAAAGTTACCTTCAAACTGAAGGTAAATGGATGAAGGTGATATTTTTAGATAAAAGGAAATGCATGTTGTTGTAAAAGAGAATAACAAGTTTAAATAAGTGAAAATCCTTTATCCTTCTGGTTTTGGCCAGAATTCAGAAAACAGAACCTGACAACTGTGAGGTGCTCAGTGAATGGTAGGAGAGGGCAGGATATGTATCAAAATGCTGTTTTGACACAGACTTCAAAAGGAAGTTCATTCTGTTCTGATAGAGGATCTCCTCCGAAAATAGTACAAGCTATTTTAATTCTGAGACTTGCAAAATTATGATAAACTACTCGAGACTTTACCAAGACTGCAGCAAGGCCTTAAGTTTTTACTGTAAAAGTTTTCTGTGTAAATTCTGTCTTGACTGTTTGATGAAATATGGTATTTTTTTCTAAACCAAATAAGGACTGAAGCCTATGATGTATTTTAAGAGCAGTGAACTGGGTGACCATCATTTCATTGGACTACTGGTCTAAATCTGGTAACTCTGAAGAACAGGAGAAGAACCATATTTATATGATTGTGTTACATGAAACTGTAGAGCTTTCTAGTCAAATCGGCAGCAATGTAAATTAGCATAGATAATAACAAATCTGACTGAAAAGACTGTAACACTTCTGTATAAATTTTGTTGATTTGAGATTGGGTTAATTAGTACTATAATTTTAGAAACTAGTAAATTTTCTGTAAAGAGCAATAAAAGCCATATAGAAAGGTCCCAGAAAGTGCACTAAATGTAAGTCAATTGTATGACTGCATTTGTACCATGATAAGTATTCTTTTGTGATTTATTCCAGATACTCTGGAAAGTATTTTGGGATACAGTTTTCATATATGCTGTATAAATAATGCATTACGTTGTATGCTTTTAATACATCCTGTATGTAGGACGTGAAATGGATAAATTGCAATAAATACTGTATTTAAACTTGCTATTCTGTTGTGTCAACGGTCATTTAGAAAGAAACCTGCCTTAAAACGTTGCCAACTGTTATTCTGCACAACTTTGTCCAAAACACGTGTGGATGCAAAGCGGCTCCTCTGGAGCCTCGATGTTCCTGTCGGTGTTTCCTTTGGCAGATGGGCTCTTGAGAACAGGAAGGCACTCCCTGGCTACAGACTCCTTCTCAAAGCCAAGTAACAAAAGTAGATGAATTCTTTCATGAAATAAAGAACTCTTGACTTGCACAGGATAAACAAGAACTGGGCAGCACAGCTCTTGTGAAAAAACCCCAACCCAGCAGCTTCAGATCCTGCAGAAAACACCTGAATACATTGGGATGATACTCTGCAGGCTTCAGCAGGATGAGGTTGGGATGGCTGTGGCCCATCTTTATTTACAGTTGATATCCACTCACTGAAATAGAGATTTGTTTTTTAAGACTGTCACAATAAAGCAGTCTGCATGCCAATTAAATAAGAGGTCATGCAAGCATTACAGTCACAGTGCTGCAGGTTTGCAGTGCTCAGATGAAGAACGTGAAGTTTTTTGCTCAAGTAATGCTTCCCTTGGTATGTGCATTCAGTACAGATTGCCAACAGGACCTCATGAGGTCCTGTGGAGATCAGCAGTGCTCGGTGCTGAACCTACAACATGGAGCTGTAGGAGTTGGATACTTTTCAGAGAGCTTTAAATACTTGTTTTGACATCTGAAGACTTTTAGACATGGACAGATGAGAAGTAAGTTCTGTCTGCATTAAGCCTGTAACTCTGCACAGGAAATCTTGCTCCGTGGAATGGAGATGTACCTGCTGAGAGTTTCATTCCACTTACATTTTATTTCATTCCCGCTCAGCACCTGGGGCTATTGGCAT